GGGCACATACGATGAATGAATCCGACATCGATATAGCCCAACGTTGTCCATCCCAGATTCGGACATGCCTCCTCGGTAACGTCGACAATGACATCACCACACACCCGCGGCCCAAGCCACGACTTCGCCACTCGCTCACACGTACCACCCGTGTACTCCTCTCTCGTACATCTCATCCTTCTCCCATCAACAAACAAACAAACAAACATACAAGCATACAAGATGGGCTTCACCTGCCCAGACCTCTTCCTCTGCCTCCTCGCAGTCCTCATCCCACCCATCCCAGTCGGTATCAAAGCTGGGTTCTGTACCGCTGATCGTGAGTCATCCCCATCCCTCCCTTCTCCCCCCTTCAACCCTAACCCTGTGGGCGATAGTGTTGATCAATATTTGTTTGTGCGTATTGGGCGTTATCCCCGGCTTGGTGCATGCGTGGTACATCATCGGAAAGTATCCCGAACATGACCGCCGCCGTGCTGCTCGAGGTTCGCAGCAGCGGTCGCGGTCCGTGAGGGAGGATTTAGAGCGTGCGCAGCGGACGCGTCTGGGACCTGGGTATCAACGTGTACCTCAGAAGGAGCAGCGGAATTATGGAGCGGTTCCGAGGGGGGAGGAAGGTGTGGGTGAGGGATCGAGTGCTGGTGGTGTTGGGGGGCAGGGCGAGGTACCGCCGAGTTATGCGAGTGTTGTGAAGGGGGATAATAAGGTTCAGACGGATGATTGAGCTCCATTGTGAGGGTAAGAGGTGATGAGGGTCTTTGACTGCATTCGTTGGGAAATGCGGCTTTCTTGTATTGTTCATAAAAAACCCTGGTCTGCCTGCCAAAACTGAATCTGAGTATGACAAAACCGTTGCATGCTTGAGCTTCCATAGCTCAGTGGTAGAGCGAGAGATTGCAGATCTCTAGGTCAGGTGTTCGAATCACCTTGGAAGCTTTCTTTTGCGTTTTCTGGCAGCAATGATTTTCAATCAATCCAATCCTGAACCAGCTTTCATTCTCAACTCAATTACGACCTCTTTCCTCTTTCCAACATTTTCTCGTCGTACCGTGCCTGGCCGCGCTTCCAGCACTTCGCCTAAACCGCCTAACGTAGACGCTTCGAAGCTTCACGTCACGTTCCGATCAACCACCGACCGACCAACAAAGCATTCGACAACAATCACAATGACCGGAGAAGGCTGGCTGTTTCTTTTCGCCGTGTTGATCAATGCGGTGAACTTGTTCTTGCAGGTGTTCTTTACGATCATGTAGGTTCAATCCGCTCGTTGCGCCTTCGTGTTTCACGGGGAGACGAGTCTTGGTTACGGTGATGCTGACCCTTGTGCGACGACAGGTACTCCGACCTCGAATGTGATTACATCAACCCCATCGACCTCTGCAACAAACTCAATTGGTGGATCTTCCCGGAAATGGGCATTCACGCCTTCACTACCGTCCTCCTGCTCCTCAACGGTCAATGGATTGCCACGGCCCTCAACTTGCCCCTCCTTGCGTACAACGTCAACAAAGTCGTCAACAACGCTCATTTGTTGGATGCGACTGAGATCTTTAGGACGTTGGGGAAGCATAAGAAGGAGAGCTTTGTGAAGTTGGGATTCCATTTGGTGTTGTTTTTCTTCTACCTTTACAGGTGAGTTGGGGCAGGGGGGTGGTGTATGCGTGGTTTGTCTGGATGTGTCGTACTGACTGTTTGTGTAGCATGATCGTTGCGTTGATCCGTGATGATTAAAGTGCGTCGCACCTGATATGAAGGTTGGAATGTGAGAGAGGCAATGGACGGAGTGTGCTGAGTTGTTAGACAGCGGAGCGGCTCAAGTCTTATTTATGGGGCTGTAGACTCGGCGTCGGGATGCTCGATATGGAGTGTACGATCGAATGGAGAAGAGAAACGTTCGCTTGAAGGGGGTGCTGTGTTGCTGTAATGTCATAATAAAGGGTTTTGCATACAAGAACCCGCATCTGTCGTTTCAACGGAATATGCTTCGTGACGGGGTATCATATCTCAAGAATATGTGAACGCAACGTTCTTTATATCCTCTGCGTTGCCGCGTCAACCTCGTCGTAATCTATAGCACCAATCGTGCTCCCACTACATCAATTGCTCCTTCACCCACTCATCCGTCAAATCATCTCCGTCCCTACACTCCAACACCTTCCCAGTATCACATTTCTCCGCAAACCACACCCTCGCACTGGCATACAACATCGTCATCTCCAAACTACTCGTCCGTGGTGCCCAATACAGCATGCACAACGGCGTACTCTTCCTCCCATCATCAAATTCCAATTCATACGACAACAAAACGAATCGTGGGGTGTTGTCGGGGAGTTCGTCAGCGAGTTCCTCGATGGAGGAGAGAGTCAGGGGACCGTCTTCCGTTGCGGAGTCGGGGATGATATCGTGGTTTGTTTTGGAGATGGAGAAGATTAGGCAGGCTGTGCCCTTTTTGGAGCTGTGCAACGGGTTTAGCTGGGGGGTCATGCGAAGCCTGGCAAACTGTCGTACCCTTTGAGACGGAAGTCCCGGATGGACTTTTGGTTTTCGGTGGAGAGCGCGAATAGACGGGCTTCTGATGCCATTGCGATTGATCTCAATTGGAAGGTTGCTGGTAAGCTTTGGTGTGTTGCGACGTTGGGGTTCAGCCGTACGGCGATGACGTTCGGGACGTGTTGGTCAGATTGATTGTCATGAAGTCATTGCATGCTTGAGCTTCCATAGCTCAGTGGTAGAGCGAGAGATTGCAGATCTCTAGGTCAGGTGTTCGAACCACCTTGGGAGCTTCTCTTTTTGTTCTTTTGCGCTCTGAGTTTCTTGCAGAGCGCGCCCTGGTTCCCTGGTGCACGTGAATTCGAAGACCCTCAAACTCGAGTACGTTTACGGATCAACCTTAAGTCGCTGCAACACTTCCTGGAAGACTGATCGCTTCTAAAGCTTCCAACCTCCGCCTATACTCGAGTCTTCTCAAGCACTCTCGCCCTCTCAAGATTTCTGGTTCACCAAGTGCGACGCCGAGAAGCCAGAGAGAAAGTAATTGCGACGAATAGCAGCACCAAACCATCAAGAAAATGCCTCGCGACCTCGACCCTTCGATTTCAGAACGCAACTTTGTGCTAGATGCACTGCGGCAAGGTCTCCGTGTCGATGGAAGAGTGGTGGATCAAACCAGGGACTTGGAGATTACGTTTGGTGACGAATACGGAAACGTCGACGTAAGAATGGGAAAAACAAGGTGCGCAGATGCGTTCGTTACGAATCTGTTCTTCATGGCTAATCCTTTTACGTACAGAGTTCTCGCGAGAATATCCGCCGACATCGCACAACCATACCCCAACAAACCCTTCGAAGGTTTCTTTGCCATCAACACCTCCCTCTCACCCATGTCATCCCCAGCACACTCCCACTCCTCTTCCGCCGAAGAAACCGAATTCCACATCTCGACACTCATTGAGAAATCCATCCGAAGAAGTCAGGCGCTGGATACCGAATCCCTCTGTATCGTTGCCGGCAAGAAATGCTGGCACGTCCGAGCCGACGTGCACTTCCTCGATGGCGACGGTGGACTCCTCGATGCTGCCTCCATCGCTGTCATGGCAGGTCTCCTACATTTCCGAAGACCAGATTTGAGGATCGAGGGAAGTGAGGTGTATGTCTACCCCCTCTCCGAACGCGTCGGAGTCCCCCTCGTTCTCCTCCACACCCCGATCTGCACAACAATCTCCTACTTCCCGCCCACGCTCGAAACTGACCCCCTCCTCCCTGTCCTCGACGTGACACTCCAGGAAGAACGACTTCGAACATCTGAGCTCACGTTAACCCTTAATACCCAGAATGAGTTGACGATGATACATAAAGCGGGGGGAGCGGTGGTGCCGGCGCATGAGGTGCTCAGGGCGGCGAGGGTTGCGAGTGAGAAGTGTAGGGGGGTTGTGGAGTTGGTTAAGAGACGAATTGTCAAGGACGAGGAAATCAGGAAGCAGGATGGGCGGGGAGGGTATTTTGAGGGTGAGGCGGCTGAGGATAGGAAGGTTAGAGTGCCATGAGTCTGTTAAAGTGGGGACAGATACTACATACACTAAGAGCATAATGAAGCGTTCCCGGCAGAAATTGGGTGTCACTTGTACATATCTATTATAGTCCAACCTATCCTATTTCCCGGCTCTCGCCTTCAGCCCTTCGACCCACCACGGCACCTGCCTCAACCCCCTCAGTATGCCATAATACTCCCTCACGACCAGTAAAGCACCATGATGCCCTTCTTGGAGAGCCCGAATAAACTCCTCCTCAAGTACCGTCGGCCACGCCAGAATCTGGGATAAGCTAGCTCCGGCTCCAGATTGTCTCAGCCATAGCAATTGTCGAATCGCTCCCGTGTAACGCGGGTTCGAGAGGAGTGGCTGGAGCACAGGCGGCATGTTACGCTCCCACTCTCCCATGTCCTCCATCACTCCACCAACCCCATGACCAGCAACACTAGCAATTGCCTCAAATGCCTCCCTCCCCATCAGCCCCCTCTGCCTCAAGACTCCCATAACGCCCCTAACGCTCCTCATCCCCTGAATCCACCCCATCGCTATACCCTCTCCATATGCGTTTGGACTGGTGTTCGAATTCCATCGCGTAAGCGCCACTTCCAAGATCGCGAGTGCGATGGAAGTGAGCATGAGTATAGCCGCGGTAGACGGAGTAGGTGAGATGAGGGTTTGGTGGAAGGTGGTGTAGGCAAAGGTACGATGATGGAGAGTCAGTGCGCTTGGATGCGGTGCTGAATTGCCGGTGTCGAGATGGGCGGACGAGAGGGCTAGGATTGCGTGCATGAGACTGTTTCCCCCATCGGGTGTGGATGACCCGAATGCGAGGTCGGGGATTTGGTGGAGCCAGAGGCCGGATGTGTGTGGGTCTGCGAGGGTATGTGCTGTGCGGGAGATGTAGTTGTGGAGGAGGCGGAGGTGGGAGAGGTAGCCGCCGCCTGGGGTGAGGCTGGGTGTTGGAGAGGCGGTGGCGAGTTGGGAGAGTTGGAGGGGGGATGGGGGGATGCATAGGGCGGTTGGGGATATTGTGAGGTTTGTTGGGGTGGTGAAGTAAAGATTGAAGATGGCTGATGACGGTCCTGGTGGTGATAGATTGGTGAAGTTGCTATGTGCGGGTTCAGTGGGTATCGCAGTGTTCACGAAACCGTTCGTCGTAGCCGCTCCAAAGATAGAAGTCGTATTCACCACTGGGTGTAATATTCCATCCGTGGAACCAATTCCCATAGCGGCGTTCTGCAATCGTTTCGACGCACTATCGATCGTTGCAGAAGTCCAGCGTGCCAGTGCTGCTGTTCCCGTACTCGTGCTGGGCGACACAGTCAAAGCAACAGATCGAGATCCTTCAACCGCACGTCTCTTCCTGATCGGTCCATCATCATGACTAACCGTAGCCGATGCTCTGCGGGCAGGTGCCTTCACCACGCCCTCGGAGCCTCCACCAAAACCAAGTACCAAGACCTCCTTCCTCTCATCTCCTCTATCCTCTCCTTCTCCTTCTTCACGCTCGTCTTCACCCTTCCGCATCGTACTCTCGATGTCACACTCCTCTTGCGATCCATGCCTCACGCAATTCGCACAATGCGGTTGTACCTCATCGCACTTGATACGACGTGCTTTGCAAATCGAGCACCCTGTTCGCGATTTCGTGTGGGATTTCCGCTTGAGCTTGGGACGTTTTGAGGCGTGTTGGTTGTCGTAGTCGCCGTCGGATTCAAGCATTGGGATGATCACCCACGGAGGAAGCTTTGTGTATTAGCTGGAGAGCAGCTGAGTGGAAGGGTCATCGGACCGTGGATGACATGGATCTTGAACGTAAGGGTTGACGAGCTGGTGGAGGGGTCCTCCGATGCAACTTCCTGCGCGTACCCGCTCACCGAGATTCCGGGAATACGAGGTCAATACGAAGGGTGGGAGATCACAAAGGCGGTTACAGCGGAGCTTCGGAAAAGGGATCATAAGAGAGACGTATCGCGGTCTAACGTCTCATCCGTTCTTTTCCAGCTCGCCAGAAGCTTGTAAGCACGCCTCGAGCTCCACCGAGCACTCGTTTCCGCGGACCAGCGACCTCCGGCTATGTAAGACCCCACAATCAACCCCCCGCACCCGCTACGTCAAATATGTAGCCTTCGTCGGCGACGTCTTCGACAATTGCAATCCCAAGTGCGACTACACTGTCATGGCTACTCAGAAGATCGGAATTGCCATCCTTGGCGCAGGCATCTTTGCCCGCGAACGTATGATTCATGATCTTATCCCTTTCCAACGCTGACACTGGGCTATACAGAGCACCTCCCCGCGATCCAAGCATGCTCTTCTCTTGAATTGAAGGCGATCTACTCCCGCTCTCAAAAGTCCGCTTCTGCACTGGCCTCCATCGCTTCCTCATCCTCCTCGTCCACCATCGATGTTTACAGCGACGACTCTTCTGCTGCTCACAACCTCGACGCACTCCTCTCTCGCTCCGACATCCAAGCTGTGATCATCGCTCTGCCAATTACCTCCCAACCCGCAATCGTCAAACGCGCCCTCTCCGCCGGTAAGCATGTCCTTTCCGAAAAACCCATCGCACCTACCGTCGATGCGGCCCGTGAGCTGTTGGCACACTACGACTCCCTTCCAACCTCTTCTCGTGGTCTCTGGAGCATCGCGGAGAACTTCCGGTTCGAGCCGCATCTTGTGCGTGCGTCGGAGTTGGTTCAATCATCCGTCGGTCCCATTACCTCGTTTAGTTTGACAATGCTCACATCCGTTGAGCAAGACAATAAATGGCTCAACACCTCTTGGCGTGCGGAGCCTACGCATCCGGGTGGGTTCGTCCTCGATGGCGGAGTTCATAGCGCCGCTGGCCTCCGCCTTATCTTGGGAAAGGAGATTGAGAAGGTTAATTCGCGGACGAGGATCGTGAGGGAATATCTAGGAGGTGTGGATACCGTTCATGCTGTTTGTACGACGAGCGATGGTGTCGATGGAGCGTTCACGATGTCCTTTGCTAGCGCGTATGAGAGGAACGAAATCCTTGTCGTGGGAGAGAAGGGATCAGTTCTGGTTGATGGCAAAATCGTAACACTCCTCTCCCCATCGGGCGAGATCGTCACCCGCGACTCGTACGAATCCGAACCCGCACCTGGCGAGAAGAAGATCGGTTCAGAGCCCGGTGTGGAGGCCGTTGGTGCCGAAGTGAAGGAGTTTGCGGAGGCGATTTTGAGGGCAAGCGTCGATGAGGAGAGGAGTGGGGTTAGGACTGCGGTGAGGGATTTGGCGTTGATTGAGGGGTTGTTGAGGAGTGGGGAGAAGGGAGGAGAGGTTGTTGTGTTGGACAATGAGGTGTAGGGGTGTGGACGTGGCTGACTATATGGATACCTGAATTTCCCTAAATACAAGAATCTCATTTTCTGAGTTGTCTGGCGTGGGAGTGCGAGAACGAACCTCGAGGACCTTCAATCCATTGATCGTCAATACATAGAGGCATGTAGATAAGTAGTACTCATTCACTTAAACGAACTCAACAAGACAACACAAACATGCAACGTCTTCAAGTGTTGCTGGAGCAGGGGTCAACCGTGCATTCGGACCGCTTGCGGCCCCGCGATTCGACCCTGAACTCAATCGCAGCCAACAACACCCAACTGTTGCAGTTGGACTCGCAACCATAATCACCCACTTGAAATTGCTCTATCTAGCTGTTCTGCTCTTTAAGCTCTAGCTCTGCTGTTTCCGTGTTGCATCCAGAAAAAGCTATGGAAGACCTTGACATTGACTTTGGCTCACTGGACTTTGAATCACCCAAGACGTAAGGGGTGTATACTTAGGTTTGTGCACGGCGAAACTGACACCATAATACAGCACCCGTCGCGAGCTCACGAGTACAGCTGTTCGAAAACCTACGACGAACGGCGGTTATGCTGCCCGACGTGCTCGACGGTCGACTGTGGGAATGAATGCTACTACCCATACAGCCCCTGGAAACACTGACTGCGGGCCATATACACAGCATTCATCGGCCCTTATATCGAGTGGGACTGGTCTGACGTCTGTTAGTCGGAGGAAAACGAGCACGGTGACGCATGGTCGACGAAGAAGGTACGGAGCTGAGAGGACGATGACTGTGGATGAGTTCCTGAAAGAGGTTGCGCCGGTGACGAGGGCGTTGAGGGTGAGGAAGGCACCGGTGAAGAAGGCTCAGCCGTTGTTCTTTGACTCGGAGGAGTCGGAGGAAGCGAGTGAAGGGGAAGAAGAGGATGAGGAGGAACATACAACCTTTAGCACGACTACCTCAAAGAAACTCAGTTCTCGTGGGAAACAAGCCCAACAGAAGGTCGAAACACGAACAACTAGGAATGAACGTACACGTGTGCCTATGGCATTGAGGATGAAAACTGCGCAGCCAGGGTGTGAAAGTGCAATGTTGGCACGGAAAATGTCACAGCTGAGGCGTGGAAAGGTATTCGCCTTCCACACCACCATTCTCTCTTATGGTGCTGACAAAGTTGAGTACAGCGATTGAAGGCGGCTACTATATACTTGTCACTCACAGAGGACTTCGCGCCGATCTCTCCAAAACCAACAACACCGCCTGTCGCGGATGCTGATATCTCAGCCACATCCAATGATGCAGACTCTCGCAAGCAAAAGTCCAAAACTAAAGGTAAAACCAAGAAGAAAGGTCCGACGAAAACCAAACGCCGTGCGAAACCCCTCGACACTACATCACTCGCCAACATCGACGACCTACTCCGACCATCTACCCCCATTCAGATTGAAGAAGACCTCACAACGGACCCAATTCTCAACGCACTACCAGTCGAAGAGGTTATCCCCTGCAATGGTGTTGTTACTCCCGCATCGACGGTGGAAAAGAAGCGTATGCTGCCTCTCTCATCGATGCATCTTGCCTTCGCAACGATGAAACCAAAACCTCAAGCCCCACCTACGGTCACCAAAAAGGCAGGGCATGGTTTCACGGCCTGGGGTGGAGTGAGCAGACTCGGTTCAGGGTTCGTCGGGTGTCCAAGCCCTCCGCCTCGAGAGAAGGAGCGTGGAGGAGGACTAGAGTTGGTGAGTTCAGATGTTGCAATGGAGATACGCAGAGGTGGGGGCCGTACGGAAAGGAGGGACACGTTCTTCACCACCGAATCTCCGCCGGTCGCTGTGGAGTTAGAGGAAGGGATCGTCTACTCCCCCGCGCCGAGTCCAATTCCTGCACCTGTGCCCGAGACTCGGGAGGCAAGTCCACAAACCTCAGGGACACCAGTCTTCCAAGTGCACCGGGGCGCAGGGCGGTTTCGTGTTCAAGAGGAGAGCGACGAGCCATCTGCTACGAGAAAGATGTTCGATGCGATTGAGTGTCCTGCGCCGACATTTGGTAGTTTGCCGACGCCTGTGGGACGAGTGGACGAGATCGGAGGAAGAGGCAAGGAAGGTGAGGAAGAACAGGATCTTGAGACGGTATTTAAGACGTTGAGAGTGCCAGCCAGACCTGCGAGTGATGAAGACATGGGCGAGGAGACATGTGACGCAGACGATGAGGGTGAGGATATGGAAGAGGAGGAGCACGCAAGGAAACCTGCCCCTCTCACCATGGGCAGGCTCAGCTCCGTCGCAATTGGTCTACCGGTTCGATTATCATCCAAGAAGAGGTTGAATACGGAAGTCAGTTATGTCGCCGAGTCAGAGATGGATGTAGAGGAAGTGATGGAGGATGCTGAGGTGGTTGGGGAATCTTGTCTGATCGGAGGAGAGGAAGATGAGTCCTTGGCGTTTAAGATGCCGGCTAGGAGGACAAGATTGGCGAGGCGGGCGTCAATGGCCATATCCCGTACCGTGTCACAATACCAGACCATGTCGTCCAGTGATACCTTACAGCGCCTCGTTACTCGTGCGGCAAGTCCAGTGCCGGGGTTGAGGTTCCTTCCGCCCACACATACGGGTGGGAGAAAGACGTCCAATGTTAGTACATCGCTGGGCTTCGTGCGTGCAACGGAAGTGCTGGATACTGACGTGCAGGAGGAGAATGTCGTAGGGGGGACGTCAGATCCCATTGTTTCGTCTGATGGTGCAGTGGTAGGGGGGGTGAGGAGGAGTGTGGTCGAGAGTGATCCTATCTCGTCGACGTCAGGGGACAATGTGGAGATTAACGGCACTGATGCGATTGAGACATCTTCGCCAGCTGCTCCCATTTCCCTCTGTGCCACCGCCGTGGGTCGCAGGAAGACATCCATCGCACAACCGGATACGGGTACGAAGAGACGCATCATCCTCGACGATATCGACACCTCTTCCTCGCCTATTAAGAAACCTAACCTTTTTGTGAGTCGTGACTCTGTGGCTGCTGTGATATCTGATCCGATCTTCGTGAGGCCGGGACCGCCGAAGAGGTTGGGTATTGGTAGGATGAGGAGTTTGTCTGTTATGAGGACGATGAGTGAAGGGGGTGGGGTGAGGAGGGCTGTGACGGGCGTGAGTGGTCTGAATGGTACCGGTGCGAGTGGGGTCGGGGAGATAGGACCTCCAATATTGTCAGTGGGAATGGTAAGGAGGCAGAGCGCTTCGATGATTCGTCCGGTTGATGATTTCATCATGGAAGGGGCGGAGAGAGAGGACAGGGATGATCCGATCGACAGCTCCGGTCCGGGTTCTTCGATGGTATGTTTGTCGTCGCCGGTGAGGATGCTCGAGGCACCTGTCCCATCTCTCGCAACGACAACGATGACTACGCCTACGAGAAAGACGCTTGGCATTAGGAGGCAGTCTACGACGGGATTCCGGCCCGTGCCGTACTTCAAGTCGGTGGATCAGCCGACACCACGCTCCCAAGTACAGGAGAGAAATAGTGTGTGCAGGACCATGACGCAGGTATCACCATTGAGTTCGGGTGGATTGAGACCTGGATTGGCGAGGACTAGTACGAGCGTGCAGAGGCCGAGAGCTAGGACGTTGTCAGTGAGTGTCAGAGGGAAGCTTACGGAACTGGAAGTTATTACGACCGACAAGGAGAGCGTCACAGGAAAGGAGAGCAGCTTCCGCGAAGTCAGTGCAGCATGGTAAACCTTAATGTTAATTGACTTTTATATACGACATGATGCGCATGGAACTTCCAGTCCTTATCATGCGCCGCACTTTATTGAGGTACGTAAGGGTCGCAGGGTGCATGTGAAAAGGCGTCATGATCAGAAAGTGACGTAAATGCAAGGAAGACCAAGGTTTGTGCGATTCCCCATCCACTGATAAAAACCCGCTCCCCTCCCACTTTTCAGTTGAGACCCAACACAACACAACACAACAACTACTACAACAATGTCAAACAACCCATTCACCAATCGTCACTCTGCCCTCGAGGCTCAATTGGCCGAGGCGGAGAGGGATGCCTACGCCGCCGAGTCCGCCATCCTCGCCTCCTCTTCCGGGTTGCCTCAATCCACCGCCGCATACACCTCCACCGAACCCACCTTCCCTCCCTCAGGCGGTGCAGGCCCCGCTGTCGTTCCCTCCGGCTACGGCGTCCACACGGATGCTCCCCGTCTCGACGTCGATTTGCCGACCCCGAGCTTGGACACGGGTGTTAGGGCTCCCAAGGATTATGCCGACGTGAACGTCCATGCGCAGGAGGCTACGTACGATATCGAAGACCGTCTCGGTTCTGCGAATCAGCATGCTTTCCAAGCGAAGGAGGAGGCAAAGGCTGCGACCTACGAGGCTGGTGCTGCGGCAAAGGAGCAGGCTGGAGCTGCGTATGAGACTGGTGCGCAGAAGGCTTATGAGACGAAGGAGGCTGCGAAGGAGAGTGCTGCGGGTGCGTACGATGCTACCGCCCAGAAGGCTCAGGTTGCGAAGGAGAGTGCTGGCGCTGCGTATGACCAGACCGCCCAGAAGGCGTACGAGACGAAGGAGGCTGCGAAGGATACTGCTGCCTCGACTTACAACGCCGCTGCCGATACCGCTTACAACGCAAAGGAGGCTACGAAGGATACCGCTGCGTCTGCATACCAGACCACTGCCGATGCCGCATACAACACCAAGGAAGCGGCCAAGGATACCGCTGGTGCAGCATACGACAAGACCGCCGAGACGGCCCAGGCGGCCAAGGATACCGCTGCGGGCGCATACGACGCTACTGCGCAAAAGGCATACGAGACGAAAGAGGCTGCGAAAGACACCGCTGCCTCGACGTATAATGCCGCTGCGGACACTGCTGCTGTTGCCGCGAACAAGACGGCCGAGGGGGCTGCTGTCGCTCGTGATGTGACGGCTAGGACTGCGGGCGCGGCGTACGGTGCTGTTGCGGGGACTGCGCAGGCTGCTGGGGAGGTTGTTGGTGATGCTGCTGCGGCAACTAGGGATACCGCCGTCGCGGCTGGTCAGAAGACTGCGGAGGTTGCTGGACAAGCCGCCGGGACGGTTGTTGGTGGTGCGCAGGCTGTTGCGGGGAAGACTGCTGAGGTCGCGAGTGAGGTCGGGAATAAGACTGCGCAGGTCGCTGGACAAGCTGCGGGGACGGTGGTTGGTGGTGCACAGGCTGTTGCGGAACAAGCTGCCGGTGCTGCAGAGGCAACGAAGGACGCTACCGTCGAAGGCGCCCACACACTCCTCGAGCGCGCAAAGGAGACGCTCTCGCACATCGATGTTGGCGCGTTACCCTCTGAGGCACTCAATGCGGTCGCGTCCGGCGTCGGACTCGTTGCTGGCACACTCTTCGGCGTCGGCTCCATCGCTGCTGAGAAGGTCAGTGAGGTGACGGAGGAAGCGAGGAGGAAGGCTGCGGAGGTGGCGGAGCAGGAACGTCGACAAGCTGCGAAGGAACGTGAGGAAGCCGAAGCACTCGAGGCTCAAGCGCACGCAAAGTTGGAGGCGGCGAAGGCGAAGGAGAGTGCTGCGAGTGCTGTCGTCGACGCAACTGGTGGGGTTGCGCCGAAGGGAAAGGGTACCGGTCTTGGGTTGCAGGAGGAAGCGAACACGGGCGCGGTGAAGGTTGAGCAGGTTGAGGGGTTGGGCCAGACGGTTCCGGGGGGTACGGTGCCCGGTGCGATTCCGGTTGCGGATGTGGAGGAGGGGGGGGTTAGGGGTTTGAGGGCCGAGAATGTTGTGTAAGTAGAATTGTTACGTGTATGATTATGTTTATGAGGCAAGGGTTGCGGCATCTATAAAGGAATGTGTTTTTTTGACTTGCAATTGAACAATCACTTTTGTAAAAGTATCGATGCACGCTGACGCACACTCTGCGAAAGTGGGCAGCGCACGGCGGTTATACTCCATGTGAAGCGATCTTGCAATTGCCAGCGATACAATGGGTCGACGAGGTGATCCACAGGATGGTCTCTCAATGTAACCCTCCAGCGTACTGCCTCCTGCCCGCTCATACTAACCACCCACCACAGACCCCTCCACACACCCCGCTCCCACTCCCACTCCTACGACCACGATCCACCACCGCCGCGACAACCCTCCTCCCGCGAAGAAGAAGAAGACCTCCAAGAACTCCGCCGCTACGAAGACTTCACAACAGTCGACTGGGTCCAAGACGCCCACCGCTCACAAACCCGCAAGAGAATGAAGAGGGAGGAGGCCGAAAGACGAGGCGAACGAATCAGCACCTGGCGCGAACGCCTAGAACAAATCTACGATGACGGACAAGCGTGGATTGTAGTCTCCCTCGTCGCGACGCTGATTGGGATTAATGCCGCACTACAATCTATCGTTACGGAATGGCTTTCGGATTTGAGGGGGGGGTATTGTGCGTCTGGGTGGTATCTCAATCGCAAGTTTTGTTGTTGGGAGGCTGAGGCACATTGTCCGGAGTGGAGGCCATACAGTACGGGGATTGGGGCGTATCCGATCTTTGTGTGTTTTGCGGCGGGGTTCGGGTGGGTGAGCGCCTATCTCGTCCGAGAGTTCGCGCCATACGCTGCTGGCTCTGGAATCAGTGAGATCAAGTGTATCCTCGCCGGCTTCATCATGAAGAATTTCCTCGGTGCTTGGACGCTGTTGATTAAATCTTGTTGTTTACCACTTGCCATTGCTAGTGGGTTACAGGTTGGGAAGGAAGGGCCGGCGGTTCATGTTGCGGTGTGTACGGGGAGTGTCGTGACACGCTTTTTCTCGAAATATCGCGGGGATGCGGGGAAGATGAGGGAGATATTCACGGCGTGCTCCGCCGCTGGAGTCGCTGTTGCGTTTGGCGCCCCCATCGGCGGCGTCCTTTTCGCATTCGAGGAGATGAGTGCGGGAGGGGCTGGCTTTCCGCTCAAAACACTCTACCGTACGTTTTTTTGTGCGTTGATTAGTGTTACGGTACTCAGTGCCCTCAACCCCTTCCGCACCGGCCAACTCGTTCTCTTCCAAGTCACCTACGACCGCGACTGGCATTTTTTCGAGATCGTCAATTTCCTGTTCCTCGGCGTCGCGGGCGGACTCTATGGTGCGTTCGTGATGAAGTGGAATATTCGCTATGTCGCCTTTCGGAAACGATATCTTGCGCGTTGGGGCGTGCCGGAGGTCGTGGGGTTAGCTGTTGCAACGGGGGTTGTGGGGTGGTGGAATTTGTGGGTGAGGATGGATATGACGAAGGGGATGGAGATGTTGTTTCGGGAGTGTGCGCAACTTGAAAGTTGGGAGGATGGAGCTGGGTTGTGTGAGTATGGGAGTAGGTGGAGGGTTAGTGCGTCGTTACTCATCGCTACGGTCATGAGAATCTTTTTCGTGATCATCTCCTACGGCGCGAAGATTCCCGCGGGGATCTTCGTCCCCTCCATGGCCGTCGGAGCCACATTCGGCCGCCTCGTCGGGATCGTGGCGAATGCGATTCAACAGACGTTCCCCACCTGGAGTGTGTTCGGGGTTTGTTCGCCCGATGTACCGTGTATCACCCCCGGGACGTACGCATTCCTCGGCGCAGCGGCGGCTCTGAGTGGGATTATGCATATCTCTGTCTCGGTTGTGGTTATTATGTTCGAACTCACCGGAGCGCTCAACTATGTCCTTCCATGCATGATTGTCGTTGGCGCAACCAAAGGCGTGTCGGAGTACCTCGGTAAAGGCGGGATCGCGGATAGGATGATTGCGGTAAACGGGTATCCATTCCTCGACTCGAAGGAGGAGAGGAATTTTGGGGGGGTGAGGGTTGGGGGCGTGATGCAGAAGGCACGGGGGTTGAGGGTCGTTACGGTTAGGGGGATGAGGGTTGGGGATGTGGAGGGGTTGTTGCGCGAGACGGAGTTTAGGGGGTTCCCGGTTGTTGGGTGTGTGAGAGACATGGTGCTTGTTGGGTGGATTGGGAGGAGGGAGATTAGGTATGGGCTTGAGAGGGCGGGTGTGGGTGAGGGTGTTGGGGGCAGGGATGATAGGGATGTTGAGTGTGTGTTTGGAGGGATGACTGAGGAGGGGATGGAAGGTACGCCCGACCTCTCCGCCCCCGCTCCAACGTACGACACCGACCCCAACGTCATCGATTTCACCCGCTACGTCGATCCCACCCCACTAACAGTCCACCCCGCGCTTCCCCTCGAAACCTGCTCTTCCCTCTTCCAATCCCTCGGCCCACGCGTCATCCTCGTCGAACACTACGGTAAACTCCGAGGCCTGGTAACGGTGAAGGATTTGTTAAAGTTCACGGCTATGCTCGAAAATCGAGAACATCCACGGGATTATGAGGGGGAGGAGGAGGAGCAGAGGCGGGCCTGGGACTTTTTGGGTAGGGTTGGGAGGAGGGTTAGGGGTGTTAGTGGGGATTTGAGGGGGAGGTTGGGAGTGGGGGGATTTGGGTTTGGGTTGGGTGGGGGGAGTCCTGGGAGGAGGGCGGAGGCGGCGGAGGCGGCGGAGGAGTTTGTGCTTGAGGAGGAGGAGAGTGAGAGTGAAGATGATGAACGAGGATTGGGGACGCATGATGGGAATGGGAATAGGTCGAGCGGGGAACGTTAACGTTAGGATACCCATGATAGGGAGCAATTTAGACACGCCACGGCGCCGTCAGTGAAAAAAGTAAAGATCAAATTTTGGTATCAAATCACTACACACAAGGCCTTCTTTGGTTTTGGCCCTTCTATCTCCACCAGATCCAAGAAATGCATCAAAACGCTCCCTTGTGCACCTTTCTCATCCGTTCAAAGTGTCTCAATCACAAATCATACCTTCTCCATAACTTAAGCCTCATTCACCTGAGCCTGCGCCTCCTTCAATCTCCCCTCAACACCCTGCACACCCTCCTTAGCCCCCCTAACAACGCTCAACACACCCTCCAAACTCCCCCTCCAAACATTCAGACGCTTACTCAATAACTCCCATTGCTCACGCTCAAACACGCGGTACGTGGCGCGGTGAACAGTGAATGACGAAGTGAGTTGGGAGAGCTTTCCCTCGATGAGGTGGCATTGGATACAGTCGATGATCCAGAGTTCGACGTCCGCGGCGGGGATGTCGAGGGAGGACGTGATTGTCTCGTAAGAGATGTGACGCGTGCCGTCTGAAATTGAAGATGCGGCCAAAGAGGCAAGGGTCAGGAGACGAATTTTCCGGGTACAGAGGTCGTCGTTAAACGTGTGCGAGGGGAGGGCTTTGTACCCTGCGTAATCACCCGAGAGGAAAACCTCGAGGATGGCATACATCTCTGGCTTGGAAGTTTTGAGACCACGAACGGGCTCGAGCGCGATGAGGTCGTCAAAGTTGAAGTGTGGGGGGCGTTCGACGGCGTGCTGGACTGCTCTCACGGCCAACTCTGCGTTCGCGCCTTCTTGCTGAAGTGCGAGGAGGTAAGTCGCGTATGCAGTCTTGTCATCCTCCGCGTTCTCTGCGGCGTCGATAACGGCGTTCAGGACCTTGGAGGCGACCTCAGCGGGGACGGACCATTCGGAGAGCCAGGTGCGGAGGTGGGTGAGTTGGGGTTGGAGGGCGTCGTAGAGGTCGTGGGAGCGCGCGACGGAGAGGAGGGTGAGGAAGGTTTGTGCGCGGAATGCGGAGTCGGAGGGGAGGACGTTGAAGACGGTCGACAAGACGGTCAAAGACAATGCGGGGCCGTTGGGGGTTGATGGGGGGTTGGAGAGGTTCTTGAGGAGGGTGTCGATAAGGGCGGGGGTAGGGGCGGAGCGAATGAGGTTGATGAGGAGGTTTGCTGCGGGCTCATATTCCTTCTCAGAGGCATTGGACAACACCGAGGAGGCCTCGACCAAACGCTGGAGGACCTCCTCCTCGCTCAGATCAGCGATCGAGGAGACGAGCGGGCCAGCCGCTTCGTCGGTCGCGCCGTTGAGACGGTCAATGTAGACGGCCAATTCATAGACCTGGTCCTCGAACTTTCCGTCGACGATGAGGATGTTGGAGGCCATGTTCATTTCCAATTGTGCTTCCTTTCGTCTTTTGGTGTCGTAACAAACTTTGCCTGGCGCGGCAGGTGCAGTGCCTGGCTGTGAAATCAGGGTAGTGTTAGTTTACCGAATCCAGACGTCCCCTGTAACGTTGAACCTCCGGATCACCGACAATTGCAAGGTTGATCATCAATAACGTCAAGGCGTCTATCCTTTGCCGACCAGAGAGTACCCTTTCTCCAAACGCAGATACGACAGTCGACACCACGATGATCCGCGGCATCGGAACCCAGATCGTTAATGTCCCCAAGTTAGCAGCCCGGCTAACCAGCGTTCTGCCATCCTCAACCGAGAAATATCTCCACCCAAAGGAGCGAGCACAACTAATGGAAGTACGCCCAAATGGCGGAGAACTGAAGTTCCTCGCAACACACTGGGCTGCTAAACAAGCTTGCTGGAAGGCTTTCGGGAGTCAGAAAGGGCTGGGGTTAGATCAGATTGAGATGTTGCATCGTGAGGACGGGGGGCCTGTGTTGAGGATTCATGGTGCACGCAGGGTTGAGGAGGAGGGGAATGTGGTGGAGGCAGAGAAGATGGATACGCCAGAAGAAGCCAGCGTGACGATCTCGCATGATGGCGATTATGTTGTTGCGTTCGTCATGCGGCAAGCACCATTTAACACATCACTGGCTACATCCACGGCACAATCATTGACAAGAAGAAGAGCTATGGCAGACGCTCGTGCTGCGCTAAAGACCTCCCCACCACATATCGCACCTGTAACAGGGCGCCGTCAGCATTCCACTTGTTCCTCCTCCGAAAAACCAAAGAAACCAGCAGCCCGAGGATTCCTCCGAGAACTCATCAACATCACAGTATCTACTCACGAGGATACCCGCCCCATCTCTACGGGTCCCGAACTTGGCAAGCTAGGAAACGCCACTGCCTTCAAGGGCAAAACGATCATGGTCAACATCGATGGAGAGACTGTCGGGTATGACAACGTCTGGCTCCGGGACGCATGTCCCTGCCCACGTTGCGTCGATCCAAGTACACGTCAAAAGACTTTCGAAACATCCGACGTCCCGGAAACGATCAGACCCCGCGCACTCCGAATCTCACCCAAGAAGAACGGGTTAGAGGTCATCTGGGACCAGAGCCTCCGATCCCAGCCAGACAAGGACATACATAACTCTTTCTACCCATACGACCTTCTCAAGCAATATTCCTCACCTGCGGAGACGGCGGCGGCGAGGCATAACTCGGAATCACCTGTGTTGTGGGATAAGGCCATGATGGAGGATGCGGTGTTGTGGGTCGAGTACAAGGATTATATGAATAATGATCAAGCGCTCTTCACCGTATTGAAACAGTTGCAGGAGTATGGACTAGCCTTTATCCGTGGTATGGGAACAGACGACGAAGCAAAACTCATCGAGCGCGCCGCAGAACGCATCGGCGAACTCAAACAAACCTTCTACGGCCGCACCTGGAACGTCAAATCCATCCCAAACTCAAAGAACGTCGCATACACCTCCCTCAACCTGGGTCTCCACATGGACCTTCTCTACTTCGAGTCACCACCTGGTCTCCAGTTCTTGCATTGTTTGCGAAACTCGGTAACGGGTGGTTCGAGTTATTTTGTGGATTCGTTCCGTGCTGCGCATGCGTTGAGGATGGATAACCCCATGGCGTTCGGTGCGTTGACGAAGACGCCGGTTACGTTTCACTACAAGAATGATGGTCGTCACTTTCACTACACGCGTCCCACGATCGTTTTGGACCCGTACGCCGTCGGTCCTGACCCAGTCATCGACCACGTCAATTACTCCCCGCCCTTCCAGGCTCCCTTCGAGAACATCAATTGGAATTTCCGCGGGTTCCATAGCGCACTACGGAGTTTCGCGGATTACATGGCGAGGCCGGAGCAGGTTTATGAGATGACGCTGAAGGAGGGTGAGTGTGTGGTGTTCCAGAACAGGAGGGTGTTGCATGCTAGGAGAGAGTTCGATGCGGCGAGTGGGCAGAGGTGGTTGAAGGGGGCTTATGTGGATATTGATGCTTTTCGGGATAAGTATCGGGTGTTATCTGAGAAGTTTACGTAGGCGATGACAACAGCGACATTTTAGGCACCGGAAATCACTTTCATAGAGAAGAGAATAACGATACACCCAACTCCCAATAGACCAATACGCCGCCAAGTTTCAATGCAGAATCCAACAGTAATAAAGAACGAACCTCACACCTCATGATCACGCCTTGCTCCCCCCATTCCCAGCCTTCGCACCCCCACTCCACCCCCTCACTTCCCCAAACAACCTCACAAACTTCCTCCTCGCCCCCAATGCACTAACACCCATCCCCTCCAACTCGTCCTCCCCCAACATGATCATATCCTCCCACTTCATATCCGCAAAGAGCGCCGTGTACTTGTGGAGACGGACGAGGGCGAGCCAGCGGGGGATGTTGTGGACGGAGGTTGGGTGCGTGGGGGGATCGCGGCGGGGGTGGCGGCGCCAGAGGGAGGGGTGGACGCGCATGTGGATTGACGTTGTGGTGGGGGCGAGGGTGAAGGTGGTAGACGGTTGGTAAGGGCGGGTGTAAGGTGTGTGGTTATCGGTCTTGCTGGCAGCATACACCTCGAACCTCGTCCTCGTCGGAACCTGAGCCCACTCATTCTCCATCCCCGAACGATAATACCCACCTGGGACACCCTTATACCTCTCTTCACCACTCTTTCCGCATGGACAACTGCAAGGTGCGGCAGAGGTAACAACTTGAGGCGGAGCTGGAATAACCGTTGAAGCGGGACCGGGAGCAGCAGAAGTAGCAGGGGAGTAATACCCACCGACATCGACCCCATCAATGATGTCTAGGATGTTAGGCAGGTAGTAGTGTGCGATACTATCCGTCGGACTCCCAACTTGACTCAAGACCCCACCCCCACCAAACGAGCCCGAAAAGTTGCGTGAATGCGACCTCGAGGAAGGCGGAAGAGAAGCTGCAATGCCGGAGTCGGGACGAGCACTCGGAGGACGAATCGTATCTGAGGATTTCCCAGCATTCATCGTGCTGGGGTGACGGGAAGTGTGCGAGGTACTGGCTGAAGTCGACTCGTGGGCTGAACCCGTTGCAGTGACCGAAATGGACTCAACCGTCGAGGACGAAGCAAGTGTACTCACTTTTCTCCCAAACCCCTCCTCAAAGGTAAACCCCGGTAAATGCCCTGTACAGAACCTATAAGTCAGCATACTCTGCACGCATACACCCCCAAATTTCCACATCCCATGACCAAACAACCAAAGTAAGAAGAAGGGATACCTACCAACACGAGCATACTCACTCAACAACATCCCAGCCCCACTCAAATCCCTCACCATATCAAACGTGTCGCTCCTCGCCCCTCCCCAGCCGCCTCCTCCCAGACCACCTACACCACTCGAAGAAGCACTTACTGAAGCCGTAGCCGTAGCCATTTTTGCCAAAAAGAAACACGGACGAAACGGACGTGTAAGAAAGGAAGCAGAAGAAGAGAAGCAACTCGAACTGTGTATGAGCAATAGCCTTATGCGGAAAAAGAGAACGGAGGGTTTGCGAGGTCGTGTTGGTGGTTTGTTTGGATTTCGGCCATCTGGGCAGAGGCGCGCAGGCAGGCAGAACTTGGCACGGTCCCCGGCGACGACTGCTGTACGTAACATACACTCTGTACTCATTCCACACACAAAGATAAACATATATTCATAGGCCCCGGAGTCAAGACAAAAAGCTCCCTAAGGCTACGGCTACTATTAAAAGGTAAAGTAAAGCGTCGAACTCATCCCCGACGCTAGAATCTCCTCAATATATCAAGGCCAACATAGGAAGTCCATCATGTCGGCGGAAAGATAGCAAGCAACTCACAGGCGAACAACGAGCCCGAGCGAGTGCCTTCCCTTCCTCAAGAACCGCTTCACAAAACAAATTGAAACCCAAGAAGATATCCCAAGAAAACCCGCTTTTAATGACCGTGCCAAACACTCGTTTCGTCTAAATGAAAGTGTAAGAGAACCCATAAGTAATACCGCAAGCAAAATGCTCCCCGTTGAACTCCTAATCTCCTACTCCGGATTCCTCTCCGTGACCTTAGTAACCAGTCGCGGACTCACACTCCTCGCAAGTCGACGTAGCAGTCTTCGCCTCACACTCGGTACACTCAGTGCTCGACGTCTTCGCCTCACACTCCGTGCACTCAGTGCTCGACGTCTTCATCTCACACTCGGTACACTCGGTGCTCGACGTCTTCATCTCACACTCCGTGCACTCGGTGCTCGACGTCTTCATCTCACACTCGGTACACTCGGTGGTGGTAGGCGTGCAGCTCTCCGTGGTAGTTTCGGTAAAAGTACAAGTCGAAATCGACGTAACGGGAACCATCTCCGTCGTCGTGTAGGTACAAGTCGAGATAGATGTGACGGGGTACAAAGCAGTTTCCGTGACGTAGCAAGTCGAGATGTATGTCACCTCTTGGTATTCGGTGGACGTGACGTAGCATGTCGAGACTGACGTGACAGGGAACATCTGAGTCTCAGTGCTGTAGCATGTCGTGGTAACAGTGATAAACTCCTCCTCGATTGACGTCTTGGCGGGGAGTTGAGAGTACTCGGTCGTAGTGTACGTACAAGTCGAGATCGATGTCACCGGGTAGGAGCTGGTCTCCGTGCTGTAACACGTCGTGGTAACCGTGATAAACTCCTCTTCGATCGATGTCTTGGCGGGGAGCTGAGAGTACTCGGTCGTGGTGTAAGTACAGGTCGAGATCGACGTGGTGGGAACGATTTCGGTCGTCGTGTAAGTGCAAGTAGTGGTCTCGGTGATCTCCTCGGTGTAGGACTTGGCGGGCAAGGTCTCGGTCTCGGTGGAGTAGCAAGTGGTGGTAACCGTCTCGGGAATGATGACAGACTGCCAGATGGTATACGCAGTCGACTCAGTCGCGTAACAGGTAGTTGTAACCGTCTCGGTTTGAGGGACACAAGACGACGTCTTCATCTCACATTCCGTGCACTCCTCCGTGGTGGAGGCAGTCTTCATCTCACATTCCGTACACTCCGTGCTGGACGCAGTCTTCATCTCACACTCGGTGCACTCCTCAGACGAGGACGAACCATAGCCATCGCGAGCCCAGAGACCAAAGGGCGAAGCCTTTACCGGGACGGCCTTGGAGAGGGCGAGAGCAACGAGGAGGGTGGAAAGAAACTTGGCAACCATGGCTGATTAAGATGTAGAACGATGGGTATGAGTAACGATCTTGTTGATGTAACGAACTTGGTGAGCAGCGATCGGACACTGGGTTGTTTTCTCGTTGATGCTAGGCAAAGGGAAGCTTGAGGAGGTTGGGTCGATGAGGATCAAACAGGCAGCGACGGTGCTGGACTTTATAAGGCGAGGGAGGGCAGTGCCTGGAGAGACGAGGATGGGATCGAGAGTGGGGTATGACCGAATGAGTTGACCGATACGAAGGAGGAGGAACCCATGATCTCATACCCGGAACCTTGATCAGTCCAAGTTACCAAAAATAGCTGCCCCCACCGGTAAATGTATTGGAACGCCTGGCTCATCTCGGACGGTTGAATCCTGAACCTGATTGTTTTGGCGGAAGAACTTGTACCCCCAGGTGCACGCGCTTTGTCCTGATATGGTAAACGGCCAAGACTGAGATCGGCGATTGGGTGGAGTCAGAGTAACCGCGGCTGAGAACAGGCAGAGGAGGAGACAAGCTTTGTGAACGGGGCGGTCGGATGACCTAGGCCATGTTGCTGCCTCACTCCTTACCTCGGCAAGACACTGTGGAAGACTTGAATCTCTGTCCGAACATTTGAACCGATACCAATAGTAATCCCACCGTCTCACAGTGAGGTCGGCGGCGGAAGCGATAGGATCGAGGTTTTTTTGCTGTCGTAGTACCAGGGTCCCGGCACCGACGACGTAGACATGCGGCACGACTTCTGTAGGTGTCAGTAACAATCCTGTTTCCCCTAACCTTCGTCGCTGCTATTTTTGGAAGCATTCGCAGAATCCTCTGGTCGAATCCTTGCCTTCTGATTTATCCGCGTATACGAGACACACCACGACAGTCCCAATCGAACATCGTTCAGTACCCAATCCAAGTTTCCGACGGCGGGCTGAAAGTCATCGCGTAGTCATGCGGTAAGTCCCATGAACCAAATGTCCACGATAGGAATGAACAGCGGGGTACATTCCAGCCGGCTGCACCAATCCCGGTTCCTCCGCCAAGACAAAACCTTATTCAGCCATGTGACGCTTTCGATCGAAGCAACAGTTCTAGTATGGAACACCAGCTGGTCAAGCCGCTCTAGAGAGCCGAGACCGATGGGGTCATATTTCACATGAAGGTCGGTTACACCCCGGCTGCGGATCTGTCGAAGGTTCATTGAAGTTGCAGCTTATCGCGATAGGCTTTCTGATTGCGCCGTATATTGCGACCGGTAACACGAACGACGAATGGGTCGAAGGGCGACCTGGTTTGGAGGACAACCAACATTCTTTGAGGCCCATATGTCAGACCAAGGTCCATGCCTGATCTATTCTCAGCGAAGCTCATCCACTCCACGATGATTGGCTCGCCAACAGGCCAAGGTCCATTGCTGCGAAAATAAGGTTTGTAGCCTGTGGCTCATCCAAGCCCTACTGGTACGCGGAACACGGCAGTCCGCCGCGCCGACACAGCCCCTCAGAACCCTGTTTCATGGATGAACTAGCATAACCTGGAAAGCCAAGACAGCCGGTCAACAGGACCATTGAATGATCAGGAGGTCGGTTACGTACAACGGTTGATCGATCGATACCAGGCCCGGACGGGTTGACTAACCTAGGCAACGGCCACGACAGTCCTAGGTAGCGGTTAAAGACGCGTGCCGTGAGCCGTGTAGATGGCCATGAGCTTTTGAGATTCCATGCATCGAAAGCATATGGCGGTGCTAGCAAAAGGTTATTTGCTGTGGTACAAAATAAGGTTCGCCCGGGTGCAGCGGTTGGCGCAGCCAGCCGAATCTCGAGTTGAAACCCCGCAAGGCATGCACCGTGCGAACAGCATTAACAACTCGAACAGCCTGGGCTTGGCCGGTAAAAATGGCCAAAGTAGGCTTTAACGGTGACCGAGTATGTCCGTCGCCGGCTCCAGGTTGCGGACGTCAGATCCAGGTCACGTCGAGTCGATATCGATGGATCACGAGCTCATTCGCAGTTTCAGGGAAGTTGGCTAGACTGACTTGAAATGGACAGGATTGATTTGTGTGACATGATTTATATCAATTGGTACTGTCAACGTTCAGCAGGTGAGGCGATTCTAGCAAAAGGCGTAACAATCCGGCACATGCCGTCGACGAAATCGCCAAAACATGGTAAACAGAAGCTCGCGATGTATATGAGGCATTGCTAACGAACAACTAACCGGCCTCTTTGGCACAGTGGTACTGCGTCGCACTCGTAATGCGAAGATCGCTCGTTCGATTCGGGCAAGAGGCACCATTTTTGGCATTTTGCCTCCCACAATCAGCCATTCTCTTCATAGTGCCAGTTCATCCGTGCCGCTTTTGTGCTTGCCAGAACAGAAGGTGGTGTGGTTTTTCGGAAACTTTTTTCTCGAGGGGCGGCCGGTGAAAAAAGTCTTCAGGGCCCGCACCAAAATTTAGCCTGAGACGAGGCTGGGGCCGTGAACCCCTAAGATGATCAAGATCACGGGATATGGCGAGACCTACATCGGAGTACGGCGTGAACTTTGGATGCCATGCAGTTCTTGTATTCATAAATGCTAAATATGCTTTCCCTTGGGTACGCCTTTAACCAATTACCTCACACTCTTTGGCACGTTGAACTCCGAGTTCATCGCCTCCATGGCCTTCTTCAACATCCTATCGCTCTTATAACTCTCAACCCTATTTTCACCCTCATCCTTACCCTCCTTCCTCGCCTTCTTCCTCTGCATGCCACCCGGCGCCTCTCGCAACCCGAACGCCTTCGCAATATGCCCGAGATGAAGATTCCTAACATTGAACACAGACTTCTCGGCAGCGACGTGCGTAGCATACGCCCTGACGTGGGATTTGTACGCATTGCGCGCGAGGTCGAGGGTAGTAGGGGATGCAAGGACCCACTTCTCCACTGCCAACTGCCACTCTGTGGCTGCCAATTCCCAATCGTAGCGTTTGCCGGGGAAGACTTTCCTCAGCAGCTCTTCATTCGCAACAGAGCGAGGCTCGGCACCAATACCGCGCTTGATGACATCCAGGTACCCCTCCTCGTTCGGCAGCAAGAAAAGCGATGCTTCACCCTTGCGACCAGCACGTGCTGTACGACCGATACGGTGGACGTACTCGTCAACTGCGAAAGGCGGGTCGTATTGCACAACGTTGGTAATGTCTGGCAAATCGAGACCACGGGAGGCGACGTCGGTGCAAAAGAGGACCGCACCGGCCGTGTTCTTCGTGAACGCAGCCAGTGTCTGTTGACGGATGTGTTGAGGGAGAGATCCGTGAAGTCGATGAAGAATAGGAGGATTTGTGCCGTTCAGGACTGGTGCCTTCGCAATGGCCGCGTCAGCCGGTGAAGTCTTCTTCTTCATTACCTTCTTCTCCTTCTTTTCGCCATCATCCTCACCCTCATCCTCATCCTCATCATTGTCAGACTCGGCATCAGAATCTTCCGTCTCTACCTTGCCATCCAAGCTTCTCGTAAACAATTTGAAGTGATAGTCCACACTGTCTGCACAAGAAAAGAAAACGATGGCCTTGTTCGCAGCACTGTCCCCCGTACGAGCCGCTCTCTTCGTGACAAACATATTCTTCAACGCGGCGCCCAAAGTAACTAATCTCAATTTCGCAGGTACGATCGAGTACTGCTGATCCAGCTGGGCTGGTGCACTAAATTCCGCCGCATTTGCCCCAGAGGCGAACTTGCCATCAACATGATCATCAGCCTTCACATACACCGTATCCTTCAATGCATCCTGTCCAAGCTTCTCCACACCCGCCTTGATCGTAGCAGAACACAGCACTGTAACCCTCCTCTTAGGCAACCCTTGCTCCAACCACGCACCTTTCGACGCACCTGATCTCTCATTCACAATGTTCAGAATCTTGTTCAAGGTCTCCTCGAAGCCAGAATCCATCATACGGTCACCCTCATCGAGCACGAGCCACCTCGCACTCGACACATCCAGCGACTTTGTGTTCTCCAGATGATCCAGCATACGTCCAGGCGTAGCGACCAAGATGTTGACACCCTTCCTCAACCTCGCTTTCTCCGATTTCTTTTTCTCACCACCAATGACAAGACCGGGCACTAACCAATACGCTCCCGAACACCTCAACAAAACCTCCAACACCGAGTAAATCTGCTGACACAACTCGCGTGTAGGGCCAAGGATGAGTGCAAACACGCCGGAAGAACGCGAAGATCGGTCTTTCCGGGACTGCATGAGTCGGTGAACGATAGGGAGGAGGAACGCAAGTGTCTTTCCGGAACCAGTCTGTGCTTGGATGAAGACGTCGTGCTTGTCCTTCTGGTCAAGGAGGTAGGGAATGGCGTTGGACTGAATCGAAGTCGGTGCCGTAATAGACATTTTGTTTTCCAAATGCGTGCAAAGTCGGCTATCGATCTTGAGCGGACCAAAAGCCGAGTCGTGCATCGGGGCGTTGGAAGCGGGTCCTACCGCAGGAGCCGTCGATGGTTTGGCAGGAATATGCGACTCAGGATTGTAGGTGAAGAGCGACGAAATAACTTGCTTGCTGGCTCCCGTCGCCTTTGCCGGCGGATGATCCTCCCCCTCCTCACCATCATCCCTCTTCCTCTTCGTTCCCATTCCCGCCCCTGGCGCCCGGCTCACAAAAACCTCCTCCTCCACCCTCTCTGGCGGCGCAACATTATGCTCCCTCACCGCAGCCTTCACCGAATACCCCCTCACCCCCTCGCCCGCCTCCCGCCTCTCCCGATGCTGCGCCTGCTTCTTCTGCTTCAATCGATCCGTCCAGCGTCCCGATCCGCCCTTGTTTGACGCACGAGCAGGACCGGAGCCGAGGTCGAAGTTTACGAGCATTCCATCGTCGTCGGCCATGTTGAATAGGGCGAATTGAAGGTTTTTGCCTTTGTCGTATTTTTGGTTAAGGTTGTCGATAAGCCAAAACTTTGGTGCCCGAGTGCGTGGCTGACCAGGGTCCCGCAACTGCGCCGTGTATGGACGGCCTCGAGAGGAGTGTTTTTGTGCGTACTCGGAATGGAAAGATAGACGGTGAAAATTCTGATCCCTCGATCCAACGCTTGAACGAGATGTCCCTTCAATCATGGGTGTCGGACAAGACCCTTAAATACCTCGGAATGTCCGATGCAGCCATCGTGGACTACTTCATCGCGGAGGCATCGTCCGCCCGCTCCTCGGACATTCTGTACGACAAGCTCGTCGGCTCTGGACTGCCAGAAGATAACGAGTCCAGAAGATTCACAGACGAACTGTGGGGCCGTGCGCCAAGGAAAGCGAAGGTTGCTTCAGTGTCCAAGAAGGATGCGGCACCTAAGAAGCAGGAGAGGTACGCATTGTTGCTCGATGACGACGAAGAGGAAGCTGCGCCAGTTGCAAGTGTATCTCGAAGAGACCGCGAGAAGGATCGCGACAGGGAAAGACGGAAAGAGCGGGTGCGGAGGAAAGATGACCGTGAGGATCGTTGGGCGTCGGATGAGGAGGAGAGGGAAGAGCGTGAGCGTAAGCGAAGACGACATGACCTCTCCCCATCACCACGAAGACGGAGTACAACCCCAGAACGTAGACGGTCGAGAAGCCGGACACCGAATAGCGAGGATGAAGCACGACGAGCAGAGGAAGAGCGATTACGGGACATGAGAGAACGAGATAAATTCGCAGAACGACTAAAGAACAAAGACTCGTCAAGTACAAAGAAGGTCATCGAAGATCGCTCCTCCAAAAAAGACGAAGCCCGTCGCAACCTCGCCGACGACCCCGAGGCCCGCTCCGCCGCCCTCCCCGAGCTCCGTCAACGTGCCCGTCAAGAATACCTCAAACTCCGCGAACAACAACAACTCGCTCTCCTCCGAAAACAAGTCCAAGATGACGAGATCCTGTTCCGCGGTGTTAAGTTAACGAGGAAGGAGAGGGAGCAGATTGAGTATAATAAGGAGGTCTTACGGTTGGCGGAGGAGAGGATGAACATAGATGATGGGGCGGATGGGTATGTCATGCCTGAAGACTACATCACCGAGAAGGGTAAACTTGATATGAAAAAGAAGGAAGCGGCACTCTACGGACGCTACCAAGAGTCCAATCGCCGATCTGGCAAAAGCGGCAAAGACGAAGAAGACATCGGCGAAGGCGAACGCTGGGAAATGGAACAAACCCACAAAGCCACATCCCAATACCAATACGGTGCACGCGACAAAGCACAAGCACCCCCACCAGAAGACGAGTACGAATACGTCTTTGACGAATCCCAACAAATCGGGTTCATCATGGAATCCACCCTCGAAGGCCAGGTATCCAAAGACCAACAAGCCCTCGAACTCCAAATCAAAGCCGCAGAGCAGAAAGCCGCGAGTATCGAGGAGACACGGAAGAGTCTCCCAATGTACCAATACCGCGAACAGCTCCTCGAAGCGATCGAAGCGTACCAGATCCTCATCATCGTCGGCGAGACTGGATCAGGGAAAACTACGCAGATTCCACAATATCTGCACGAGGCTGGATACACCGCCAACGGCAAGAAAGTCGGGTGTACACAACCTCGTCGCGTCGCTGCCATGTCCGTCGCTGCCCGTGTCGCGGAAGAAGTCGGGACGAAAGTTGGCGGAGAGGTTGGATATGCTATCCGGTTCGAGGATTGTACGAGTGAGAAGACTGTCATCAAATACATGACGGACGGCATGCTTCTTCGTGAATTCCTCACCGAGCCCGATTTGGGGTCATATTCCGCGCTCATGATTGACGAGGCGCACGAGAGAACACTACACACCGACATCCTCTTCGGTCTCGTCAAGGATATCGCTCGATTCCGGCCTGATCTCAAGCTGCTGATTAGTAGTGCCACGATGGACGCGGAGAAGTTTGCGGAGTACTTCGATAACGCGCCCATTTTCAATATCCCCGGGCGAAGGTATCCGGTCGATATCCACTACACCCCACAACCTGAAGCCAACTACCTCCACGCGGCCGTAACAACCGTTTTCCAGATCCATACCACGCAGCCCAAGGGTGACATCCTCGTCTTCCTAACAGGCCAAGACGAAATCGACGCCGCGGCCGAGAACCTAATGGAAACAGCAAAAAAACTGGGAGGCAAAATCGGGGAACTGATGATTTGTCCCATTTACGCAAATTTACCGAGCGAACTCCAAGCGAGGATCTTCGAGCCTACGCCGGAGGGTGCGAGGAAGGTTGTGCTTGCGACGAATATTGCGGAGACGAGTATTACGATTGATGGGGTGGTGTATGTTATTGACCCTGGGTTTGTGAAGGAGAATGTGTACAACCCGCGGACGGGGATGGAGAGTTTGGTTGTTACGCCGTGTTCCCGCGCCAGTGCCAACCAACGCTCCGGCCGCGCTGGACGAGTGGGGCCGGGGAAGTGTTTCCGACTGTACACCAAATGGGCTTTTTATAACGAGTTAGAACCCAACACGACACCCGAGATCCAGAGGACGAATCTGGGGAATGTCGTGTTGTTGTTGAAGAGTTTGGGCATCAACGACTTGATCGAATTCGATTTCATGGATCCGCCGCCTGCGGAGACGTTGATTCGGGCTTTGGAGATGTTGTATGCGCTTGGTGCGCTTAACGATAAGGGAGAGTTGACGAAAGTCGGGAGACAGATGGCTGAGTTCCCGACGGATCCCCAACTTGCTAAGGCGATGTTGGCGTCGGATAAGTATGGATGCGTGGAGGAAGTGCTTAGTATCATCTCCATGTTGGGTGAGGCAGCGAGCATCTTTTACCGCCCGAAGGATAAGAAGGTGCACGCTGACCAAGCACGGGCGAATTTCACGAGACCTGGGGGTGATCACCTCACGCTTCTCAATATCTGGAATCAATGGGTGGATACAAATTTTAGTATGATATGGGCGAAGGAGAATTTCCTGCAGTACCGGAGTTTGTGCCGGGCACGGGATGTCCGGGATCAACTTGCGCGGTTGTGCGAGCGGGTAGAGATCGAGGTTACGGGAATCGCGAATAGCGACGTCCTGCCCATTCAAAAAGCACTGACGGCAGGATTCTTCTTCAACGCTGCACGGCTCCAGCGAGATGGGCAATCATACCGTACCGCCAAAACCGCACAAACGGTCTACATCCACCCCTCCTCAGTCCTCTTCGAGCAGAATCCAAAGTGGATCGTGTATTATGAGTTGGTGTTGACGAGTAAGGAGTTTATGAGGCAGGTTATGCCGATCCAGTCGGAGTGGTTGGTGGAGGTTAGTCCGCATTACTATAAGGGAAAGGAGTTGGAGGAGTTGGATGGAGGGAGGGGAAAGAAGGGGATGCCGAAGAGTGTTGGGGCGAGTGCTGCCACTTCCAAGTAGTATGTCTTCCAAGATTATCCAAATTCCAATATGACCCCCAAATATCTACTACTAGTCCGTCGAGGGCCGATGGCATCGGCCGTCGGTTTACGGCGCTGCTAACCCGTTTGTGGGGACGTTGAGGGTGAGTACGCTGGAACAGGAATAAGCCAGAACAATATTATTGGTAAAAAACAACTAAGAGGGCGAGCCTCGTATACCCACCTAATGCTCGGGGACCCTTACCAACATGCACCCCCGTTTTGACGTTCTTTTGGTTAAATTGCTTAACCGCAACCCTCACTGGAGCACCCTGACCAATCCCCGAACCTGTTCGACGTGGGAACTGTAAGGTGAACCGTCGTTCAGTGGACTAGCAGGGCGGATTCTTCCAATACCTGTGCCGTTCTTCGGATGGGATTCCTCGGGTCATAAGACC